GAGAATGGTCAGCCTGGAGAATTTCCTGAATATACTCAGCGTGAGGATTCTGAAGAGCCAACAAGAGCACGCTAAGATCCCATGGTGACCCGACGGGTTCAAATGGGGGGGGGGGGGGCTCTGTGAGTAACCCCCTGAACGAAGATCTTCACTAGGGTGTGAGCAGCCAGGGAATAGCCAAAGCCGAAGAGTGAGCGGGTCTTCAAAGCCAAGTGCTGATCCAGACCAGACTGGAGAGAAACCAGAGTATCCGTGAAGGGAAGTCAGAGCGCAGTCCCTCAGGACCTTAGGGGGAGTTAGAGACTGTGAACCAGGATGGTAGAAGGTTCTATCTCCTAGGGACACCAGCAAAACCTGAGAATTGCTGGAAGTGGGAGGGATTTATGAGCCATTCTACAATTCTGCTTCCATGTGTCCTATTGGCTGACGGTGGCTGCGTATAAATGCCGACCATATGGCCATTACATTCATTTTCCCGAGCTGTACAGTTTTTCTTTTTACATCCTGGGGCCCCTTGACTGCTTATGCAATTTTTTGATGAAGGTGAACTTGCCCTTTTCCACAGTCAGAGCTGAAAAGAAAGGTCCTTCCTTTGCACCAACGATGGACCGACATGACCGATATGGAAGCCGTGACTTCTGGGTACGACCCTCGAAGACGCAAACTTTGTGCTTTGGATGGATCGGAGCCTCTGTCAGGCTTTTATTGCCGTCTGTGTCCCCAACTGGGGGATCTCCTGTCCCTGTCTGGGGGATCTCCTGCCCCCATCTGGGGATCTCCTGCCCCCCCCATCTGGGAGATCTCCTGCCCCCGTCTGGGGGATCTCCTGTCCCCATCTGGGAGATTTTCTGTCCCGTTCTGTCCAGGACAGGAAGTGATGGGAATCTCTATTGGGGACACCGACCGGAAGGAGAAGACATTTTCAGCAGATTGAGGAGGAGCCAGCAGTCCAGGCGCCATTGTGTTCCTCTCCATGATGTCTGCTGCACCTTCCACCTCTATGGGTGACACCGAAAGGAAGTGTGGGGAAATTCTCTCCTTTGGGGGAGGGGGGTGTCAGACAAAAATAGAAATTGAATAGAAGGGGATTGCAGACTGAAATACAAAACCCAGAAATACGACATCTTCACAATTCTAACAAAACAAAAACGCATTTTTCTGAATGTGTAGAATTGTAACTTTGTGTTTCTTCTCTTGCAGCTTGCTTGTTTCGTTACAACGTTTTATCCCTGGTCTACCTGCTCTTCCTGCTGCTGTTACCATGGTTTGCCGGACCGTCCGCGCAGAGCATGCCAGGTAAGTGACACTTTGGGGTGGATTTGTTAGAGGTGTTAAGTGCCATGACCGACCAATCCAGTCGCCGGATGAGGTGGGCAGGTCGATGTGGGAGGGTTCGGGATGGCGGGCGGGTCAGTGTGGAACGGTTCGGGATGGCGGGCAGAGTCTCTGACCCCCTGTGTTCTATATGTGTCTGTCTACCGTGTGTCTGACCCCCCCGTGTTCTGTATATTTCTGTCTCCGGTGTCTCTGACCCCCGTGTTCCATATGTGTCTGTTGCCCATCTCTCTGACCCCCCGTGTTCTGTATATGTCTGTCTCCGGTGTCTCTGACCCCCCGTGTTCCATATGTGTCTGTCGCCCATCTCTCTGACCCCCCGTGTTCTGTATATGTCTGTCTCCGGTGTCTCTGACCCCCCCCCCCCCCCCGTGTGTTCTATATGTGTCTGTCGCCCATCTCTCTGACCCCCCGTGTTCTGTATATGTCTGTCTCCGGTGTCTCTGACCCCCCGTGTTCCATATGTGTCTGTCGCCCATCTCTCTGACCCCCCGTGTTCTGTATATGTCTGTCTCCGGTGTCTCTGACCCCCGTGTTCCATATGTGTCTGTCGCCCATCTCTCTGACCCCCCGTGTTCTGTATATGTCTGTCTCCGGTGTCTCTGACCCCCCCCCCCTGTTCTATATGTCTGGAAAGGTTGGATGGTGGCGGCTGTTTTCGGTTTTGCTGGTTTATCTGACATTCCTGGGATGTTCCCGCGGTGACTCCTCTCCTCTGTGCAGAGAACTCCGGATCTCTAGTCTTGGGTCCTCCATGCCCCCCCCCCCCCCAGGCACTCTCTCTCCCTGCATTCCCCCCCAACCTCTGCCAAGCGTCATCTTCATATAAACCTTCCCTTGTATGATCTCCTCTCCCGTCCAGCTGTCGTGATGCTTTATCTTCAGTAAATAATTTTTCCTCACTGTATGACCCGCCGCGCTCCTCCCCCGCGATTCTGGCAGAGAGCCCCACCTTGGCAGGTCTGGCTCAGTCAGGCGTCTTCCCTCTGAAAAGCGTCTTCCCTCTGAAAAGCGTCCTGTAAATATTTATATGGTTGCCTCCATCAGGAACAACACTTCCTATTGAATACAATGGAGGTGAGAGTCGATTTTCCCATCTTTGTAGATCGATGTCGGGGGACACCCCAGGAAGGTGATGGGCCTCATTCCCACAATGGATATGCAGCACCTTCCAGGCCATTAGCAGGGCTCTTCAAGGTGAAAGGGTTCATCATAAATAGAACCTGTCATCCTCCCGATGCCGAGTCCTCCTGGTAGCCAGGGGGGGCACTCTGCGTTCCTGAATAGGAGCCCCGGCTGGGAGGGACGCCCGCTGCGCTGCACATTTCTGTTATAGGGCGTCACATTTCCATCCGATATGTAACATCTGAGAATCCTTCCCAGAATTCCGTGCTGCTTCCAGAACACACAACAGATGGCAGAAGATCTGATCGTGGAGTTCGAACTTTTCTTCCCTGATTGCCCAGTTATATGATGAAGAGAGAATGGCCACAGAGTTCGTCCAAACGTGGCTGACTGCTAATGGAATAAAGTCCTTCGAACCCGAGAACACCGGCCATGAGCGGAACGCTGAGCGGAGAGGGGCGTCCGTGAGCGGAACGCTCGGAGAGGGGCGTCCGTGAGCGGAACGCTCGGAGAGGGGCCGTCCGTGAGCGGAACGCTCGGAGAGGGGCGGGCCGTGAGCGGAACGCTCGGAGAGGGGCGGCCGCGAGCGGAACGCTCGGAGAGGGGCGGCCGTGAGCGGAACCGCGAGCGGAACGCTCGGAGAGGGGCGGCCGCGAGCGGAACGCTCGGAGAGGGGCGGCCGCGAGCGGAACGCTCGGAGAGGGGCGGCCGGGAGCGGAGAACGCTCGGAACGCTCGGAGAAGGCCATCATATCTGATCTGTATTCTATCCCGCCACACAAGGGTTCCTTTTGGATGATGACAGTTTTATTTGTCTAGAACAGTCACAACAGGAATAATATTGATTGTTCGATGAAGGGAACGATCTGAAGAAGAAGAAATAAAACATAAAAAGTCTTCCGCAGATTGTTCGATCTCAGCCATGTGTGTCACAATTGGGCGATGTCAACTATGTCTCTTAAAGTGCCAGCAGCCCATTGTTGGACCTCCTTTTATTGGAACGTTTGTGGCTGAGAGGCGAAACGATTTCAGCAATGAAAGTGTGCCGCGTGCTTCCCAGTGTAGCCGTTCATTAACGCCCTTCAATCTCGTATTCCGTGAAGGTGAAAGGAGACAGTGGAGCCTTTGTTGGGATTTCGGAGCCGTTTCTTCGGAGTATTATCTGATTGGTGAATTGGGATGTTTTTACACTCATGTGATTCACACTCTTCCTTTCCTTCCATTAATGCCTCCAGGGATCGCCTTCTGATCCGGTGCCGGCCAGTCCTTCTGTCTACACACGGCCTCCTGCTGAACTTTAGCTCCATTGATATTTTTGTTTTCAGCTAAATCCTGTTTTCTGTCCGATATCCATCAGTGGAAGACTCTAATGTATGTATTTATGTAAAGAAAGTCTTGTTCTGAGAAGGCATCTCTCCCGGGGTAGATCCATCCTCACCCACTGCGTCATGCCGGTCAATCTGGGGCGGGGCTGATTATGGCCACTTTCATAAATATTCCTATCAGTAGTTTGTTCTCCCCTCCTGAGGCCGTGACGGTGAGGCCGTGACGGTGAGGCCGTGACGGTGAGGCCGTGACGGTGAGGCCGTGACGGTGAGGCCGTGACGGTGAGGCCGTGACGGTGAGGCCATTCTTTTCTCAGCTAACCAACTCAATTTTTTCTGTATTCCACACTCTGGGAAATCCAGCCATCATTTGGCCTCATAGTTGTAACTGGAGACTTTTTGTGGAGCAGAACATAATCAGCCCTCATTTTCATTGGTGGCTTGCACCCTTTTTTTTGCTGTGATGGGCCCTCCAGGTAGAGTTCTCACTATGGGCAGAATATAAAGGAATTGTATGTCTTTTGTGGTTTTTGGATCTCCTCCAGGAAGCCCAATTTCCTCCTTGAACCCAAAAATGTATCGTAGGTTAATTTTGTGTAATAAAGTTTGGGAATAATAAAATCTTCTTCCATTCCTCTTCATCTCTGTCCATGGGAAGCCACCCCTGAGGTGTCCAGTCACTATATTTAGAGGTGGACATTTTACAACCATCTACACATAAATCTCCCAATCATTGACATTCATACATTAGTAGCAGCATTTTTCCCTCACGTGTTTTCTCCAAACTCATAAAACCTTTTCGATGGTTTTCATGGCAAGTAAGTAGATCTGTTGGAACCAATATAATGATCCAATAATGATCCGAGCCGGCGCTCTCCGGTGTAGACGTGTGGTGGACATTGTACTCCTAATAACACGTTCTGAAGTCCAGCTTGTCCCATGTAAAATGTTCCTCCGTCTTGTGAAGACATTTTTGGCCAACGATCAGACTGCGGCTCTCATACAGGTTTGAAATCATTTAATGTTGGTTGTGTTCTCTACAATGTAGTGATGATCTATTCAGGTAATCGAGAACCATGACATCATAAACCGGCACGTAACTCCAGGAGCCGCCATTGTGGTGACAGGTCTGCCCAGCTCACAATGTCCTCCCACCAGACCTTCACAATGAGGAGAATTCTCACCAGGAAGCAGGAACTAACAGACCAATTCCACTATGGATGAGAATGACAACTGGCAATACGATCAGATAGAACTCGGAGAGGAGACAATGGAGGAGGACCAAGCTTGGCCTGGGAGAAGCTCCATGTAAGGAGGACATCCTGCGGGTTACCGGCCAAGACCGGATCAGCACCTTATCATGCAGTTCTTCTGTAGCCGGATCTGCTGGTTCTAGAGCAAATATAAGATCTCCACACTATGAACAACCCCAGCCTTGGTTCCTTCTTTTTGTATTGGGTATGGCTCGGAAGGGTGGGAACCTCTGCCAGGTTAGCATTGTGGTCTGTGTCCTGATTGGTCAGATTGCTTCTCATTTCCTGTCCGCAGAGTCAGAAATTAACTGAATACCCCCCCCCCCAAAATGAGGGGAAACCCACCTGTGACCGTTGTTACCGGAAACGACATCCTCACTGGAAGATTTACCCTTTTTTATGTTCTGTACAATAGAGGGATTCCCCTTCACTTTCTGTCCCATAACAATGGTTGTCATGACCAACCAGGAGATAAGGAGATGGGGAGTGTTCTGTACAGTAGAGGGATTCCCCTTCACTTTCTGTCCCATAACAATGGTTGTCATGACCAACCAGGAGATAAGGAGATGGGGAATGTTCTGTACAATAGAGGGATTCCCCTTCACTTTCTGTCCCATAACAATGGTTGTCATGACCAACCAGGAGATAAGGAGATGGGGAATGTTCTGTACAATAGAGGGATTCCCCTTCACTTTCTGTCCCATAACAATGGTTGTCATGACCAACCGGGAGATAAGGAGATGGAGAGTGTTCTGTACAGTAGAGGGATTCCCCTTCACTTTCTGTCCCATAACAATGGTTGTCATGACCGACTGGGAGGGGAAATCTTCTCAAAGGAGTCGGCAATAAAAACCTGACGGGGTCTCCGACCCGACCTCTTCCCACTCGTACTAATGCTAGAACCGAGGATTGGACTGTTGTATCTGCACAGATACAGTCTTTATACAGCGCCCATCATGGCCGAGCCCATATCCATCATGTAATGGCAGAGCCCATATCCATCATGTAATGGCGGAGCCCATATCCATCGTGTAATGGCAGAGCCCATATCCATCATCATGTAATGGCGGAGCCCATATCCATCGTGTAATGGCAGAGCCCATATCCGTCATGTAATGGCGGAGCCCATATCCATCATGTAATGGCGAAGCCCATATCCGTCGTGTAATGGCAGCCGATCCATCATGTAATGGCGGAGCCCATCCATCGTGTAATGGCAGAGCCCATATCCATCGTGTAATGGCAGGAGCCCATATCCATCGTGTAATGGCAGAGCCCATATCCATGTAATGGCAGAGCCCATATCCATCGTGTAATGGCGGAGCCCATATCCGTCGTGTAATGGCAGAGCCCATATCCATCATGTAATGGCGGAGCCCATATCCATCGTGTAATGGCAGAGCCCATATCCATGTAATGGCGGAGCCCATATCCATCATGTAATGGCGGAGCCCATATCCATGTAATGGCCGAGCCGATATCCGTCGTGTAATGGCGGAGCCCATATCCGTCGTGTAATGGCGGAGCCCATATCCGTCGTGTAATGGCGGAGCCCATAACCGTCGTGTAATGGCGGAGCCCATATCCGTCGTGTAATGGCGGAGCCCATAACCGTCGTGTAATGGCGGAGCCCATATCCGTCGTGTAATGGCGGAGCCCATATCCGTCGTGTAATGGCGGAGCCCATATCCGTCGTGTAATGGCGGAGCCCATATCCGTCGTGTAGTGGCGGAGCCCATATCCGTCGTGTAATGGCGGAGCCCATATCCGTCGTGTAATGGCGGAGCCCATATCCATCCCCCCCAGTTCCTCCGCCAGTCCTCACTGATCAGTAGCCATTGGCATTGGTTTTTCAGCTCCATGCTCATGACACCATGTTGGACGAGGAGCTGTACACACGGGCTGAAGGTTGTCTGGCTCCTTCCAAACTGACTGTTCCTCCCCAGGTTGTTCTGCCTCCTATATCCCCCCTGTATCTGGACTGTGACCCGGTGTCTGTGGGATTCGAGCGATCCGTCCCGTGATCCGTCCCATGATCCCTACCGTGATCCGTCCCCTGATCCCTACCGTGTGATCCGTCCCCTGATCCTTCCCGTGATCTGTCCCGTGATCCTTCCCGTGATCTGTCCCGTGATCCTTCCCGTGATCTGTCCCGTGATCCTTCCCGTGATCCGTCCCCTGATTCTTCACGTGATCCGTCCCCTGATCCTTCCCGTGATCCCTACCGTAATCCCTACCCTGATCCGTCCCGTGATCCCTCCCTCGCCCTGATCCTTTCGTTGTACAATCGATCGATGTTTCCTTTATAGAGGTCAGTGTGATCCGGGACGCTGCGTTCGGTTTCACTCGGATTCCTGGTTCGAGTTGCCTTTGGATATGGATGGAGCCTTCAGAGATGGTCATCCGAAGATTCATCCACCCCGGTGCATTCTGGGCTGCTATCAGCTCCGCCCCAAATGGTTTAATGGAAGACAAAGAGACGGGGAGTGTTCTGTAGTCCACCACTCCCCTTATGTTCTGGAGATAAGGAGATGGGGAGTGTTCTGTAGTCCACCACTCCCCTTATGTTCTGGAGATAAGGAGATGGGGAGTGTTCTGTAGTCCACCATTCCCCTTATGTTCTGGAGATAAGGAGATGGGGAGTGTTCTGTAGTCCACCACTCCACTTATCTTCTGGAGAGAAGGAGATGGGGAGTGTTCTGTAGTCCACCACTCCACTTATCTTCTGGAGAGAAGGAGATGGGGAGTGTTCTGTAGTCCACCATTCCCCTTATGTTCTGGAGATAAGGAGACGGGGAGTGTTCTGTAGTCCACCATTCCCCTTATGTTCTGGAGATAAGGAGATGGGGAGTGTTCTGTAGTCCACCAGGAGGGGCTCAGGCAGGGTGACAACCTTCGTGCAGTATCTCATGTAATCTTGGGTTCCGGCCGCTTGCTCTGAGCTGCAGAAATATTTGAAGGATTCTTTTTATTTTCTGTTTTTGGAAAAGTGATGATTGAGAAACCGATTCCCGGAGAAGCAAAGCGCACCGAGTGATCGTTGTCTGGAGGCCGATCATCCGAATTTCGGGTGAAGAAGAAAAAACGACTAAAATGTAATATTTCACTTTATCGAACATTTCATTGAGAAGATAAATTCGAGAAGAAAACCAAAAAACATCAGAAATCAAAAGGGATTCAAAGTGCACTGAGCCTGCCCATTGGTGGGGAATCTGCCGCTCTGCCCATTGGTGGGGAATCTGCCGCTCTGCCGGTTGGTGGGGAATCTGCCGCTCTGCCGGTTGGTGGGGAATCTGCCGCTCTGCCGGTTGGTGGGGAATCTGCCGCTCTGCCCGTTGGTGGGGAATCTGCCGCTCTGCCGGTTGGTGGGGAATCTGCCGGTTGGTGGGAATCTGCCGCTCTGCCCGTTGGTGGGGAATCTGCCGCTCTGCCCGTTGGTGGGGAATCTGCCGCTCTGCCGGTTGGTGGGGAATCTGCCGCTCTGCCGGTTGGTGGGGAATCTGCCGCTTGGTGGGGAATCTGCCGCTCTGCCGGTTGGTGGGGAATCTGCCGCTCTGCCGGTTGGTGGGGAATCTGCCGCTCTGCCGGTTGGTGGGGAATCTGCCGCTCTGCCGGTTGGTGGGGAATCTGCCGCTCTGCCGGTTGGTGGGGAATCTGCCGCTCTTCCGTTGGTGGGGAATCTGCCGCTCTGCCCATTGGTGGGGAATCTGCCGCTCTGCCCGTTGGTGGGGAATCTGCCGCTCTGCCCGTTGGTGGGGAATCTGCCGCTCTGCCCGTTGGTGGGGAATCTGCCGCTCTGCCGGTTGGTGGGGAATCTGCCGCTCTGCCCGTTGGTGGGGAATCTGCCGCTCTTCCCGTTGGTGGGGAATCTGCCGCTCTGCCCGTTGGTGGGGAATCTGCCGCTCTTCCCGTTGGTGGGGAATCTGCCGCTCTGCCCGTTGGTGGGGAATCTGCCGCTCTTCCCATTGGTGGGGAATCTGCCGCTCTGCCCGGGCCCTCGGAGGTCATCCGATTTATCATTTGTAATAGATTTGGCTGTGAATCCTTCGAGTAATCCGAGGCGATGCTGAGCGGCCCAGTAATACTATCCTCTGCACTCCTCATAGAGGCTCTTCACCCCGATATACATTCTGTAGTGGAGAAGAGTCCGCAGGCTGCGCTCTGCCGGGACATTCTCTCCCTGCTGGGATTTGGCTCCAGGCCGAGGGACACATGGAACCCGATCGCAGCTTGGATTACGTCTCTGGGGGCCCCGTGGCAGGAGAGCAGTCGCTGTGTCCGTTCATAGGAGGACCTGTCTGATGAAAGGACATTCCAACCCAATCCGTTCATAATGCTCGGCCCCCCCGATAGGAAATCCCAGACACCTTCTTATCTGCCTCCATTGTCGGAGATTTCATATTCGGGGGGGTTCCGGAGGTTCCGTATCTGGGATAGGAGGATATGTAATCAGCAGATCTAATATCAGCAGCTGAAGTTCTATGCAAATCTTGACTTTTCTGCTCATGTGATGCTTGGCCCCTCCTCTCCAAATTCTTTGAGTTAAGGTGAAGAGGAGGCGCACTGACCAATAGGGAGGCTTGGGGGATCATTGTCAGTAGAGGTGACCCCTGCCTATGAACACCTTTCATGGTGTCATGCAGCTGTATATTTGCCTTCATTTCATCCAGGTACCCCTGTCAGAGGACACAGCCAGGTCCTGCACATACTGCACGTCCGCCATACAGTCCAGGACCCACCTCCGCTTGTGATTGGACGATGAAAGTGCTGCAGTTCCCTGGTGGTCTTCCCTGTGCTCACCCCTCCGGGTCTGTTTGAGGATGAGCTCTGTGCGGGACAGCAGAGCCCTGATTGGTTTAGACGGTGTCTCTTCCGCTCCTGATTTGAATCGTGTTATGCCGAGGGTTTCAGGAGGGCTCATACTGAAGTGGAACTAAACCCTCCAATCCTTCGCAGCCAAGGAAGCCGCCATCTTGGCCTTTGTTTGATCTGTACTTGCCATGGTGCTGCACATGTGATCAGCTATGACTCGGCCATTTGATGGTCTGACAGTTTGGTT